TTTTCAAAAGCTTAAGGTGGACTTTCTTGTGGATCAGGGGTTTGAGCTCAGGACCTTGCGCTTGTGAAGCGGGCACACTACCACTTCAGCCATGCCCCCAGTGTTTTTTTGCCTTAGTTATTTTTCAAATAGGGTGTCATGTTAATGCCCAGGTTGGTCTGGACTGCAAACTTCCTGTTTATACCTCCCTCATAGCTGGGATAACAGGAATGTACCACCACACCCAGCTTTTATTGGTTGAGATGGGTGTCTCATTAACATTTTCTCCTGGGCTGGCCTTGAACCATGATCCTCCTGGTCTCTGCCTTCCAAGTAGCTGGGATTACAGGCAATGAGCCACTGAGTGTAGTTTGTAGTTTGGACTTTTTTTTTTTTTAAGTATTACAGACTCTTTGCAAAATTCAGAGGCTGATAATGAGATTAATTCCTAGAACTCAAGGTTTCTGCCTTCAACAGGGCCGACAACAGAATAGGTGCTCAACAGATATGTGTGTAGTATTTTAGTGAAAACTCAGTGGAAGTTTGCCGCACACTGAAGTGTAAAAAGTATCCTGTATTCACTTGCAATAATTTGCTCCTTTTTGGAAAAAGCTGTTTTATCAATAAATCAGGACATACATGAACCATTGTAATCAAATTGTTTTAATAAAAATATATCCTGAGGCCAGGTGTGGTTGTATGTGACTGTAATTCCAGCACTTGAGAGGTTGAGGGAGGAGGAGGTGAATTTGAGACCAGTCTTTGTTACATAGTGAGACCTTGTCTCAAAAAAAAAAAAAATCCTGCCACTGACACTTTAAGAGCTTAGACTATAATTTCCCTTGCTGTGACTATTCTGGTAGAAGCTTCACTTCCAGCATAAATGTAAGATTCTTAGTGAATGAGACTGAAGTCACAAAGAAAGAATTTCTTTTTAATTGTTAACTTAAAAGTTTCTATATTTTTGATACAGAAAATAACCCAACTAGAGTGACTACAACTCAAAGATATGTCTGGTTTTGTCTAACTGGCTTTCTTAAATAACAGTAGCACTTCACAAAGAATCTTAATTAGTTTCCTTAGTAACAAATATAATCCATGACTAAATACCAATAATTAGTGCTGCTGTGGAAACTGTTCTCATTAGACATTTAAGCCACTCTCATATATTTATGGAAGACATTAGAAGTTGTTCATACTATATTAAACTTTATAATTCAGAAGTTTTACCTGCCACTTTTGACTTTCAATCTTCAATTATTGTATAAGTCAAACAGCAGATCTCATAAGTAAGGTTTTTTACACGATACTTCATAGTGTCTTAAATTAGGAATTGATCTCAGTAACATCAATTTGTTTCTGCAGTAGAAAGTTACTACCCCCCAAAATATTTTATTATTTAAAAAATTGCCTAAATAAAATATGAATTTGGAAAGTGATAAAGTAGAGGGCTTCATCAATTTAAATGTATGAATGTGGCTGGAGGAGTGGCTCAAGTGGCAGAGTGCTGCCCAGCAAGTGTGAGGCCCTGAGTTCAAAACCCAGTACTACCCCCCCAAAAACCAAAACAATGTACAAATGTTAAACAAAAGCAAAGGCATTATTTAAGTTCTTGGTTTCATTATAAAGAGAGAGTCGTTGAGTCGTTCTAATATAGGGCAGAGGCTGTTTTGAAATAAGCATTCACTCATGGAACAGCCATGCCTTCCTGTCACTATCGTGATTTACACCTCTTCCTGTGTGCATTCCTTAGGATATAGATTCCATTGCTTGTTAGTCTCTTTGACAGATTTATGTTATGTTGGGAGGAGGCAGACTAACAAAAACCAAATATACTTTGTAACTGAATTAAAGAAATGTTATATAGCCACTAAAGTAATGGTACTAATGACCCATTTTATTGCTTCTGGAGAAGCCAGGTGGGGGGTTGGAAGTAGAATGAGGAGCATTCCAGACAGAGAAAAACGCTGTGTAAAAGTGTGCCTAATGGGGGAGGGGAGAGTATAATAGTAATATATTGCATGTATGTATGAGATAATGAAGCCCATTTTAAAACATGCGAGAAAAATTCTAAAAAGGGGTGGGGTTGGGGGGCGGGGGATAAGAGAGTAAAGGGGGTAAATATGATCAAAATACATTATATGTATGCACAGAAATATCACAAGAAAGCCCCACATTGTACAATTAGTGCGTGCTAATAAAAGATACAGAAGAAAAAAAGCGCCCAAGAGCATGTTACCACCCAGGTAGTGAGGGGGGCTGGGGCATCTTTTGAAGGGTGGAAGGAGATGAGGCTGGAGAAACTCATTGTGGCCACATTGTGAAGGGTCTTGGAATAACAATTTATAAAATGTCAATTTATTCTATAGGCAACAAAATGCCACAGATGCTTTTTTGTGGTTTTGGTGGTAGTGGGGTTTTGAGCTCAGGGGCTTGCACTTGCTAGGCAGGTGCTTTACCACTTGAACCACTCTACCAGCCCTATTTTGTGTTTTGTTTAGTTTTGTTTTTTTGAGGTAGGATTTTGTGAACTATTTCCCTGGGCTGGCTTCAAACTGCGATCCTCCTGATCTCTGCCTCCTGAGCAGCTAGGATTACAGGGCAATCCACTGGCGCCCAGTGCCACAGATGCTTTTAAGTAGGGAACTAGGTGATGGGATTTATGTTGTAGGAGTATGTCTGTGTATGTCATGTAGTGTGTTCCCTTCGAAGAACTTGAAATTTCAGATTTAGTCTTGAGATTTGTTGAAACAAGAAATGATCACTGCACCAATGAAACTAAAGTAGTGTGGACAGTTGAAAAGGCAGAAGGACAGGAAGTTGTGACTCTCCTATTGACATAAGACCAACTATGCAACTGAGAGAGACTGGTGAGGTGGAGGGGAGGGGACTTATTCCAGGAAAACTTGGGTAGAATGCACAGAAGCTGGTAATTAATTGGAGGGTTGGGAAGGCATGAGCAGAAATCTAAAGCTTCTGGTCTGGCAAACAGTGTGGCTGTGACACAATTTACTGAGGCTAAAAATATTTGAGAGGAGCCAGGTGCTGGTGGCTCATGCCTGTAATCCTAGCTACTTGGGAGGCTGAGATATGGAGTACTGCGGTTCGAGGCCAGTCAGGGCAAATAGTTCGTAAGACCCCATCCCTAAAATAACCAGAGCAAAATAGAGGAGGTGTGGCTCAAGTGGTAGAGCATCTGCTTTGCAAACTCGAAGCCCTTAGTTCAAACCCCAGTTCCACCAAAAAAAAAAAAAAGTAATTTTGAGAGGAAACAGGTGTGTGTGTGTGTGTGTGTGTGTGTGTGTGTATTTTGGATGAAGAAAGTAATTAATCCAGCTTTAGTTATGTTGTTTAAGATGCCTAAAAGATATCAAGATCAGACTGAACATGACATCCAGAACCCATGACACCTAGAAGACGCTAAGTCATATGCTAAACAACTTGCCGCAAGTGAGTCTCCAATTCTTTCTGACAAGATGCAAGAACAGTAGCTCCCTGTAAGGTCTTGCCTTCTTAGATTTCAGTTACCCATGGTCAACTGTGGTGAAAACATTAAATAAAAAATTCTCTTATTATTAAGTATTTATTTTTTGGCAGTACTGGGATTTGAGAGCTCAGAGTCTCTTGCTAGGCAAGCACTCTACCGCTTGAGCCACTTTTCCAGACCTTTTTGCTCTGGTTATCCTTGAGATAGGGCTTCACTTTTTTCTTGGGCCTGGCCAGGACTGCAATCCCCCTATTTTACACCTCTGCCTTAGCTGGAATGACAGACATGCATCACCATGCCCAACTTTTTCTGTGGAGATGGGGGTCTCAAACCTTTGCCTAGGTTGGTATTGAACTGTGATCCTCCCAGTGTCAGCCTCCAGAGTAGCCAGGATTATAGGCATGAGCCACTGGTGCCTGGCAGAAAATTCCTGAAATAAACAACTTGTAAGTTTTAAGTTTTTCTGAGTAGTGTGATCACTTTAAGGTACTTTATAGTTACCTTATATATTTCATTTCACATTTACAACCAAACCTATGAGACACCATTATCTCCATTTCACACTGAAACTAAGATCAGAATGACCAGGTGACTTGCTCAAGGTCCCCAGATGGTATGTCAGAAGTAAGCTTTTAACCTAGGTTTTATCTGACTCCAAAACTTAGTTTTTTGGCTTCATAATGCTGCTCCTTAGACTAGGTTGATTTTTTAATTGGTAGATAACATTGTATGTATATACCATGTATAAGATAGATTCATTCTATCTAGTATTACCTCAGAGTTACCACTTTTGTGATAAGAACCCTTAACATCCACACAGCATTTTAAAGGATATAATATATTGTTATTAATATAGTCACCATGTTGCACAATAGAGCTTTGGAGCTTACGCGTAACTCAAATTTTGCATTTTTGACCAGTATCTAACCTGAAACCCACCACCCAAATGCCCCAGTCCTTGGAAATCAAGCATTCTATCAAGTGGGTTTAAATGGGTGAGAAAAGCTGGGTGCGATGGCTCATGACTGTGATTCTAGCTATATGAGAGGTGGAAATCAAGAGGATTGCAGTTCAGGGCCAGCAGAGGCAAAAAGTTCACAAGACCCCATCTCAAGCAATAAAATCTGGGTGTGGTGGTGTGCGCCTATCATCCCAGCTAAGGTGGGAGGCTTAAATAGGAAGATCATGATCCAGGCTGGCCTGGGTATAACTGTGAGACCCTATTCGAAAAATAACTGGGGCCATGGCTCAAGTGGTAGAGCACCTGCCTAGTAAGTGCAATGTCCTGAGTTCAAACCTCAGCACCACTAAAAAAAAAAATGGGTGAGAAAAACTGGTAAGTGTTGAAACATTCAACTTGGGATAAATAAATCTGAGTAATCTTTTAACCTTTCTAGCGTGTATACAGTTACCCAGTAAGGGGGACATATGTTACATACACAATCTAGAGTTGATGAAGGTACCTTAATGAACATTTACAAACACATACTCTCTCACACACACACACAACTAGAAATGATTTTTAAAAATTACATTAGCTGAGAATGATAATTAACAGGTTAACTTTTATTATTCAAAAAATGAACTTTCTAAAATACTAATAAATTTCATTTTTAGCTTTGTTTTGAAGTATTGGTACCACTGAAGTAACATTTTTCTTCTTCTAATCTTTTCTTGTAAAATTATAGTTTTCTCTCTTTCTAAAATAGCAGGAAGTTCATTCCAGTTCTTAATAAAGATAAAGGGAGCGCCCATGGACTTGAGTAACTGCAGAGGAGCGTCATGAAGAACAGACGCATTTCCACACCTGCCAGCTGTCATCATATCTTCCACCACGGGAATGGAGCCATAGGAGCAGGCCTCGTATATTCTGTAGCATTCTGTGTTTACTCCTGCGGGGCACAGCGTGAGGTCACTCTGCAGCAAAGCATCTTGGTAAGTCTTAAGGCTTTCATTTGTTTCTTGAGGCTGCCACCTAGAAAATCAGAAAAACTGCAGTTTTTACTCTGTTTATCTTTTGTGATAGAAAATATTCTACCTTTTAACGCTGGGTACAGGAAATGGTTAACACATTATAAGGATGATAAACATAAGATATATTTAAAACTTTGGCTCAAACAAGTTTCTTAAAAATATTTGACAATATATTTTATATCTACTCATTAAAACAAATCTGGTGGTCACCATAAAATCCTCAAATGAACAATATGAATTCAATCCCTATTTTCTGGGTGCCAGGTCCTCTCTTCCCTATCTTACCTTCAAGGAGCTTATTTAAGTCTAGTGATGAAGATGGACAGTAACAAAGTCAAATTAGTACACTTCTAGAAAGTGTTAAGTGCTGTGAAGAAAAATAAGGCACAGAAGTGGGGTGAGGGTTCCTGAGTGGGTAGGGTTACAATCTGAAATAACTGACCAGGGAATGCTCCACTGCTGAGGCCTCTGAGCACAAAGCTGGAGGTGAAGGAGCAGACCATGCAGATCTGTGAGAGAACAGAGAAAAGAGCAAACTAGAACAAAGGCCATGAGTAAATGTGTGCCTGGCATATTTAACGAACAGCAGGGAGGCCAGGGTGGTGGAAGCACTTACTAAGGGGGACAGGTGTAGAAGATAAGATCTGAATGGTCACAGAGGTGTGATATGACCTGACAAAGGTTTTATCAGGATCAGTTTGGCTGCAGTGTTTATAATAGACTGTAAACTGAGAGATCAGTTAGAAAGCTATATGTTCTCTCCTGTTTCTATTTTCAGAGTAAAACAACAGAGTCATAAAGTAAGAGAGACTGGTGGGGGAGAAGGTGTTGGTGTTAGAGTTTAGGACAAGAGAAGGTATGAAACAATTTTCTAGGAGACTGGGAGAATCCATGGACAAGAAAAATGCACGACTGCTGGGCATTTGAGGTTCAAAGTCATATACTTAAAACTTATGTTCAGCTGCATGGGTGCAGATGTGGAGCAGGTAGAGAGATGGATTATAACCAGAGTTGGGGTTTGCCGGACTAGGGAATTAGGGAGCTGAAGGTAAGGCAGTTATAATTGACTGTAAAATTAGGTTGGGTAAAGAGTAAAGTGAATAGAAGGGTAGCAGGAACAATGGATTGTAAATTCCAGCTGATTGTTGTAGTCAGATTATAAGAAATGACTTGGAATGACAGGATACAATGGTCACAGAGAGAGATGCTAGAATCTGAGGTCAGTTGAAAGCATAACATATGCATAATGAGAAGGTCTAGGAAATGACCAAGATAGGAAATGGCTGAGGTCAGCTGGAGGCTCAGATCAGTGGAGAAGAGGAGATAAAGGAACCATAAGATCAAGGTGATGGAAGGACCATGTACCTAGATTTGGGAATCACCAAGAATTAAGAACAAACTAGTGACTGACAGAGTAATAGTGACCAGGATCTCCCCTCTTCAAAGAATCAGGGGGCTAAACCCAAAGATTGGTAATGGCGGTTTTGTCTGGGGCATGAGACTCAAAAATTGGGGATGTCAGGGAGAGAAAGGAGAGAATGGTCTGGAAGCAGCAATGAGAAGCAAGGAGGATACCTTCTCAACCTCTACTTCAAAGTTAGAAGAAAACTTCTAAGAATAATTCAATTCCTTGAATAAACCTATGTTATTCTATTTTACACTATCTTTATTCACTCTGCTCCAGACACACTACTGCCTTATGGCTTTTGCATTTGCTCTTCCCTATGCTTGAATACTCTTCTCCCAAATAAACAGACTCAGTCCTGCACCTTCCTCAGGCCTGTGCTTAAATGTAACCCTCTAACTAATGCCTTCCTTGGCTATTTGAAAACTATGAATGCTCTGCTTTCAAACCCCAGTCCACTCTATGCCATTCTTCTGCTTAAATTTTTTTATATGGCATTTATCATCTTCTGTCACATAATTTATCTTGTCTCCTCCAACAAGCATGGACTTAATTTTGTTCACTGCAGAATTTATTGTGGGCAAAAGTTTCTGACACATAGCAGTTGCTTGATAAGTATTGACTGAATGACTATAGTATGGTTACATTAAGAGTAGAGTTGGGAGTTATGCTTTCTAGAAGAAAGTATCTGATACAATTACAAGGCAAATGATTTTAAAATTACTCCCTTCACTCCATAAACACCTGCTTCTTAATTACCAAAAAGATGTAAATGATGGAAGAAGGTTAACCCTGCTAAATCTGTCAATCCACTCACCATTTACCTCATGCAAGGCTCTACGTTAGATCTGAGAATTCAAAGAATACATGGCCCCTGTCCTCGGGATGGTGACAGGTTCCTGAGTATGTAAGGAGTAGTACACTGAACTTGTCTTGGCACACTTAACTGGTCTTTTGAACATTTCAGGGAAGAACCTAAGACTTTATTGGCATTTATAATCTCCTGTGTGCCGAGCCAGACTAACAAATATTTTCGAAGAAACCCCAAAGTGACTTTCACAAATGACAGTTACTAGTATTCTTCTTCAGAATGGGCTATCTCCCACAGGAGATCTCCCTATTTTAAAAGAATACAACCCAGTCTCTTCACAGTTTTAGTTACCAATGTTTCCTGGGTGAAGACTGGAATCAATCAAATTAACAATGCTTCTTTGGAAAGGTCTTTGCACATGAAGCCACTCAGACTAGAGAACAAAGTGGATGAATTGAATAAACATAGAACTTACTGTTCTCTTGCTGAAACCCAGCAAAGCTTATTATTACCATCTTGTTTTAAAATGTCCATTAGTGTCTGTCTGGATGAATTTTTATAAACAGTTCCTAAGAAATTACATATGTAGGGCCTCTTATCATGTAGCATTGACCAACTTGCTTCCACCACAGGAAAATTCCTGTATCTATAAAACAAGTATGTATGAGTTAGTATATGACACAGAATTGGCGAAATCCTCTTAACACAATTCCTTAGGTAACATGAGACTTAAAACATGAGTTTTAATCTCAAATTGTAATTTTCCATGATGACTTCAGAAAAGTCTCTGAATCTGCTGACTCAAACAAAATTTTCACATTAACAGCTCTTAGAAAAATGTCATGGAGATTTTGTGCCTAAATTTCTTTGTTTCTGATGTTCTTTAACTTCTGTAACTCACTTGCAGGTGTTAAGCTGTTGAATTAATGACCTTCAAAGTAGAAATGATCTTCCACATTTATAATGATCATGATTTAACCAATATTTTAGCAGGTGATGGGAAGATCACAGAATACTCTTGGGAAGGGAGATGTTGATCCAAGGGTAAAGTTTCAGTTAGACATGAGGGATAAGCTTTAGTGATCTACTGCATAGAATGGTGACTACAATAAATAATAATGGATTATATATCTCAACATTACTCAAAGAGTAGATTTTAAAGGTTTTTGTCACACACACACATACCGCACAAGTATGTGAGCTGATGGATTTGTTTCTTAGCCTGATTTACTCATTGCACATTATAAACACGTATCACATTGTATCTTGTTCCCATAGATGTATATAATTCTTTGTCAATTGAAAAGAAAAAATAAAAAAGAGAAAGATGACAGTATATTACAATAGCAAAGAGCTCTGAAAAATTAATTCCAAGTCTTTTCAAGTAGATCCAAACAAACAAATACTTTGTATGCCGTACAAAGGAGGCCTACTTCAAGTGACCCATTCTTATGGGCATTTGGGCTTAATAAAGATTTAATTGTGTTCCTGAAATACAACCTTTACACGAGAGCAAAGTCTTACAGTAACAGTTAGTCCAGGTTTCCCAGCCTCAGCACTGCCTGAAATTTTGGATCAGATAATTTTTTGTTGTAAAGGTTGTCCTGTACACTGTGAAGTATATAACAGCATCCCTGGGCTCTACACATTAGATGTGGGAGGCAAAAACTGCCCCTAATTGAGAACTATGGATCTGTAAGAAATATACTGGACTAGTCTCACAGTACCAGAATCACCATGTTTTCATCTTCTACTTTATAAATAGGTTATGTAATGCTACTGTGGAAAAGTATAATACATTAAAACATTTTATAAATGTGACTTATCTCAAGTGATAGATTTTACAGACGGTCTCCAACCTAGCTGTACTTCAAAAACCTTTCTGACTTGCCCTACCCCAAATGTACTGAGTCAGAATGTTGTAAAAGTAGGTCTGGGAGTATGTCTCATTAACATGTTTCCCTGGTGAGCTAAGTCGGCAGTAGTCTGAAGTCACATCTGGTGGTACCCGATAGAGTAATGAATAATGAATGCATGATTAAAAAATCATACCAGAGCCAGATCTGGTGGCTCACACCTATAATCCTAGCTACTCAGGAGGCTGAGATTGGGAGGACTGTGGTCTAGGTTGGCTTGGGGAAAAAAGGAGGAACCTATCTAAAAAATAACCGGAACAAAAAAGGGCTAGTGGTATGGCTCAAGTGGTAGAGTGCCCTGATTTAAAAAAAATCCAATCAATGAGGTAATTCGTCCACTCAACAAATATTTATTGAGTGTCTAATGCACACAAGCACTATTTTAGGCTCTATGGATGGAGCAGTGAACAAATTAGACAAAAATCCCTGTCCTCAGGAGGTACATGTGCAAATGGCAACTTATCTTAAAGTCAATTTAGTGTTAATTCAAAACTTTCTAAACCTAACAGATTAAAAATGGGTTTTCTGTTTTATAGCTGGAGAAAGACTACACATTGAAAAACCTTAGTTATCATTTAATTAACCTTTTCTTTTATAGGAGGGATTTGTGCAAATTTAGCCAGTCTACACCCAAGGGTATAATGCATTCTTGATTTAATAATATTACTTTAAAAGTATTTTTTACTATAAATTATATAGAATTTATCATTGTTCATTCTGTACTAAACATCTTTTTTAGGGTACCCCTAATAAACTTAAAAAAATCTATCCTACAATTCTAAAATCAAAACATTAACTCATCTGTTCTCCTTGGAAAAGGTAAAATACTCTAAAAACATCATTATCATCATTGAAGCATGAGACCACACTATATTTTTGCCTTTAGGCAAAATGCTCCCAGAAGAACCAACCTGATTGCAGTTTAACCCCAATCTAGAAATGTGCAATCATATTTTGTACTTACGTGGCTACTCCTAAAGGCCACTGAAAAACATCCATGCCATTAATCCAGGGGCTGTCATAGATTATAAAAAGCAGCTCCACAAAGCCTCCATTTCTTTTGAGGAACTGGCTTATCCAGTCATTATCACATTGTTCATTTCCAAGCAAAACAACAGCAAGATGCCGGAGTTTTTTCATTTGCACTAAATTCTGTGCATAAACTAACCACTGGGTGGCATAAAAGGCCTTTGATTTTTCTCTTCCATTTAAAACGAGTACCACATTATCCACATCAATGGAGAAGTACCCTGGGACCACGGATGACCCAGTGATGAAGCTGTTGAAAATGACAAACCAAAAATAAGACATAAACAAGAACAGAAAAAAGGTATTCATTTTATATAAAATCTACAATGAGATTTAATTCATATTCTCTCCAGAAATGAAATTTCTTAAAGATATGCATTAATTCATGACAGTGACTGCCTCTGAGAAGAAGAAAGAGTACAAAGAAAACTTCCCTTGTATTGAAAATATTGAATTCTCTTAAGAGAAAAATTAACCACTGGAAGCAAATATAACAGAGCTGGAATCTGTTAGTGAGCAAAGGGGAATTTGTTGTATTACTGTTTTTTACTATATTTAACAAGTTTACATGAAAGGAATAGACATGTTTCATAACTTGCATTTTCATGTTATGTGCTACCTAGAACAACTAATGCCATTGAAATATTTTTAAATTAGTATGTATTAATCATAAAAAATATCATTGAATTCATCTTATAATTAGTCACACTGGTCCTAGATTCTTTATGCCCTCTTTGAACCCTTTCATTATATCCAGCTAGAGTCTTAATTTTTTTTTTATTACTGTGCTGGGTGGGGGTACATGTGACATTTACAAAAGTTCTTACAATGTATCCAATATATCATACTTGAATTCATCCCCTCCACCACTCTTCTTTATCCTTCCCCCCTCATTCCTGGAATAGTTTCAACAGGTATCATTTTTGTATTTACATACATGTGTATACATTTTTTGCACTGTGTTCACCCTCTTATCCCCTTTCTCTGTCACCTCCCCCATCCCACTGGTACCAACACCCCCTGGGCAGGACCTGTTCCGCCCTCCTGATCTCTGATTTTGTAGAAGAATAAAGAAAAAAAATGATGTTTTTGCTTGTTTGAGATAAGGATAGCTACACAGGGAGTTTCCTTGTGATGTTTCCATGTATATATGTATTAAAACCCCAGTTGGTTCATTTCCTCTATTTTTCTTCATTCTACCTTAGTCCCTTTTGTATGGTGATTTCAGTTGCTTTAAGAATTTTACCACAATTATGCCAAGATCCTGCTTTTATTGCTGGGGATAAAAACTAACATTTGTTAAATGCCTTTTCTATAATAAAACACTTTGCATGGGTTTTTATTTAACCCCTAACAACCATACAGAGTACATTCTTCCCTTATTTTGCATTTGGGAAGTTGGACTTTAGTTGTACAGCCTGTGATGGCAATGCTGAGTTCAAATGAAAGTGGAACCAGAAGAGGAAGGTAAAGGTTAAAACGTAGTCTAGGAAACAAGTAATGTGAACAGAGAAGCAGAAGAGCTTGAGATTCTAAGCTGTACAGAAGAATGAGGTTGCATATAGGTAGTAGAACTGATTTAGCTGGGAAGGAGCAGTGTGCTATAAGGATAAAAGGAGTTAAAGTACTTGTGATACTTAACCCAGTATCTTGTTCAGAGCCTCCACACAATAAATGTTAGCTAGCAGTCTGTGAAGAAGCAGGAAACAATACTGAATAGGTAGTGTAATTTTAGTTATGTAATAATGTAAGTAGAAAAAAGGCTAGAAGAAGACACAACTAAATGCCAACTGCAGAACCTTTGTTTTTGGAATTATGGGTAAAATGGAATTATGAGTGATTAAAACTTTGTTTTCTGAATTTTCCAAAGTAAACTCTAATTTTGATAAAAATGAGTTTGTAAAATTAGAGTGCTGAGTATTTTAAATTTATTAAAAACTTAAGTCAGTCAAAACCAGATTAAGATGGAATAAGATACTGTAGAATTTAGTCAGAAAAGTTAATTTACAATTTCTACATGATAAAAAATTTTAAAACTCAGAATATCTTGGACTTTTTTTTTTTTTTTCTGGTACTGGGGCTTGAACTCAGGGCCTACACCTTGAGCCACTCCACCATCCCTGTTTGTGTAAGTGTTAATTATTTTCAAGCTAGGGTCTCACGAACTATTTTTCTGGGCTGGCTTCAAACTGTGATCCTCCTGATTTCTGCTTCTTGAGTAGCTAGGATTACATGCGTGAGCTGCTGGAGCCTGGCAAGATTATCTTGGACTTTTTTAAAATCTTAAGTCCCTCAACTAGAAATATGTTGTACACATATAGGAGGAAGCCAATAGACAAGAATATTTTTCTCAGTATGAGCTTGCATGAACTTAGCTGGACACTGCAAAACTTTTGCTCATGTACTATTAATTTGGAAATTATACTAAGTGTTTTAATGCTATGCTGGATTTTAATCCATGTATTAAAATTACATTAAGCTATCCCCAAATGTCACTTTCATAAGAAAGGGATACCTTCTTAATTTTACTGACCCACACAAATTAACAAAATTAAGCATGATTCATTCAAGGGCCCACTTGACCCTTCTTGGTATCTCCACAGCTCTTAAGCCATGGGGTCAATTCTGTGAAGTGGTAAATCAGAGGTTTCTGGCACCTTTAGTGTTTCAGTAATTTTTAAAAAGTGTTTCCCAAAGCAAAAGAAATGAGTAGCAGTTTTACTTTTAAAAAGTAATTAGATCTAAGTGACTTAGTATCCATGTCCTAACAGGTTAAAAGCCACTGGAACATACACACGAACACACAGAGAAATAAAAAAAAAAAATTCCTGTTTCATTCTTACTAATCACAAGTACTTAAGGGAATGTATGTACCTGAGCAGTATACAACTTCTCAAATCTTGGAATCAAAGTGACACTACCACTTATTTCCTGTTCCACTGATTTTTTTGGGTAGTCCTTGCATTTTATCACAGAAACCATAGAAAACCGAGCTTCACAAAGTTATGACACCACAGGAATGAATATAGGAGGATCTAGTGTTGAAATTGTGAAGCACCTTGAGCTAGTAGTTTGCACAGTGTGTCAGTTATAACTGAGTTTCCCACAGATATTTAAAATATTTTGTGGCACCCATGGCACCAGTATGGGAACCAAGGAACTAAGTAACTTAGTAACTAAGTAACTTTAAGGGCAAAAAATAAATTTCCTAAGATTCATATAGGTGAGCTCTGTGTGTGTGTGTGTGTCTGTGTGTGTGTTGTTGGGATGTTTGTTAGTAAAACTGCAATGGTTTGAGAAGTTGGTAAGTGAAGACTGTGAGTGTACACAACTGTTTTGAAAGTATGGGTGAGAAGATAAGAAAGACAGGAGTGAAAAGTGGAGGATAAAGGAGAGCAAGGAATTAAGAGATGGAGCAAGGTCTTGGAAGAAGAGACAGGATGCACAGGTATAGGGAGGCATTAACTCTGAACTAGGAAAGATTACATCATTGTCCAGACAGCTGGAGAATGAGGTAAGGATGGGTGAGGAATCAAAGAGTAGGAAAATGTTAGAGCAGATAGTTAAGGGAGATGATTATGGATGCCTCAATTTTCCTGATCAAACAGGAGGCAGGCTGTCTGCTGAGGAGGGGGATCATGAAAGTGTTGAGTAGTGGACTAGCAAAGGGGACAAACCTCCAGTTTCCCACATAGTGTACCTGCAACCCACCTGCTGGCTTCAAATATTTTTTTCCATATGGCTGTTAGAGAAATATATATAAAAGCAAAAAAAAATGACAACTATCCTGCATAATCAACTTTGATTGCTTTTTGCTGCTGACAATGAAGTCTAAGAGCCTTTTGGTGTGATACAAATAAGGTCCACCACGAACTGACCCTTGCCCCATCCTCTTAATTGGAGCTACTCTACCTCATCTCCATGCTTGTAGGAGTGTCAAACAGCTTGCAATCTATGAACAAATCAAGCTGTTTATCAGTTCTGGGCCTCTGGTGTCACCTCTGCTAGGAAAAAATAATCTCTCCTTCCTCTGACTTGCTACTCCTACTCCTTTTAAAGAATTAGCAACTATAAATGTCTCTAAGTAGTCTTTCTCCATAGGTTTCACAACCCCAACTCTGTTCAGATTGGGTTAGTTGCCTTTCTTATGTGTTTCCCTAACAACTAACATGATGCAGTATGCATAACTTTATCATTACGCTTTATATATAATATGACAATAATTTATGTTTGTCTCAACCATGGGTCTAAACTCCTCAAGGTTAAGTGGAAACTTATTCATTTATTTTGAAATCCTCGGTAACTATTAAGAACTAACGAGTAGGCACTCAGTCAATGTTGAATGTGTAAGTAGCAATTTTCTTTAGGCTTGGCTGGTTCAGAGACCATCCACTTAACCACTGAGCTAATCACCCCTCACTAGCAATTTTCTTTAGGGAGTTATTTGCTCTACCAATTTATTTAAGTTTTCCTATTGCATTTAAAATATGAATTTATAAAAATTCATTTTAACAGCAACTTTCCTGCAATGCATTTCTTTTATAAAGTGAGGATTATGTATAGGATATTATAGTATATTTATGTATGATGAGTGCTGTACTTTAGTTTACTAAGGTTATTAGGCAAGCATCTATCATAAAATTCCACTAGTTGAAGAAGGAACATATTTGAAGAGTTCATTTACAGAATTCTAAAGTGGTGATTTGCTCTTGTAGATCACTTAGCATATATTTAATAATCAGTATTTATAATTTTCCATATTTTTTTCATCTTCTGCTTGGCTCAGTTAAAAATTTGTCCTCCAATAAATACTTGCAATGTTTAGAAAGCCCAGAGAAATCATTCAAATATTTAGTCCTAAAGCTGACTGTGAAAACAATATATTTTTGGAATTCATTTAAGTTACTACCCACATAACTTTGATTCAGCTCAAAACTTGCAATTTTATAAAGATTTATTAATTTTAGATAAATAGATTCTGTGGTACTTTTCATCACTTCAGCTGCTTTAAAAAATCTACTAAAATGGTGAACTTCTTTGAATACACAACTCACTAAGAAGAAACAGCATTGCTCTTTGATGATAATATGGAATCTTATATAAAAATTTCAGAAGGGAAGAGTAAATAAGGCTTCCTTTGGGAGTTAATGCTATTAGCTCAAATTCTTCCTATCACTGCAGTAATATTGTATAGCTTTAAGCTTAAATATACTAACTTCCTTATGAATTTGTAAGAATTTTTCTGAAACTGTACATATTATAGATAGAACCATTAGACCAATTCCCCTTATGCATGTTCACATTTACCTTTCTTTTCTTTTTTTTGTTTTTTTACAATTCCTAATTTTTTTAGCATATAATAGTTGTAAGGGGTTACATTGTGATATTTACATATGTGTTTACAATATATCTTAATTAAATTCACCCCTTCTATTGTTCTCCCTTAACTCCTGCCCCCTCTTCTTAGAACTATTGCTTTTCTTTGTTCTTGGATGGGGGTACATTGTCACTGTGGCATTTACAAAAGTTCTTACAATATATCAAATATCATACTTGAATTCACCCCCTCCACCACATTTTTACTTTTCAAATATAAAATATTAGAGGATCAGTAGAGTGGCTCAAGTGGTAGAATGCCTGCCTAGCAAGCCTGAGGCCCTGAGTTCAAACCCTAGTACTGTTAAATACAAAATAATAGATTTATTCACATAATACACATTTATTTTCAAATATCCAAATCCAAGTATTATAAGTTTAGAATTATGTATAAAATCTGGAATGGGACTAAAGCAAAAACAGCATGAAGATGAAGAAAAAATAGTCATGACTAATGACAATTTTAAGAAACTGTTTACTTTTTCAGCATGATCCTTTTTGAGAAGATACATACAATGAAATTGCTTTCCAAATGGTTATAAATTAAGCAAAGAATTAAAGCAGTAGTGAAACTTCAGTTGAAACTGAGATTAACTATAGCCTTTCCTCTCTTCATTTCTGTGGGAAAGAAATGGAATCCTAATAGAAACTTTGTTCCACATTTTTTCTTCTCATAATACAATTGTTATATGAAATAAACATTTAAAAATAATTATTTTACTTTTATTTCAGTAAGAAAGCAAAATCTAAAATTACATTTTGATGATAATCTTAATTCTATATAAAATATTCAGAAAATATTCAGCCTTAGATAAGAATTCTTTAAAAAATAATAAGAGCCCCCCCAAAGTCTTAAGTAATACATTGGTTTTATTTAATTTAAAAAAATGACTAAGTATTACAGATAAATGGTAACATATATCATTTAAATCATAATAGAAGTCATACATGAGATACATTCTAATAAATAAAAATTTTAAAAATAGAGCAAGGACCTGGGTATGGTGGTGCACACCTGTAATTCCAGCACCTGGGAGACGAAGGCATTGACAGTTCCTAGCGAGCCTGGACTATAAAGCGAGACCCTGCCTCAAAATCAAAACAAACCAACCAAACAAACCCCCCAAAATCAAACCAAACAGAAAATTGATACCAATAGTTCTGACACAACCTTAATACTGTAAGAAAAGACTACTATGTTAAAAGAGAAAAGGAAAATGCTGTTAGGTTTACATATTATTCCCTCAAAGCATGGAAGGTTAGTGCTCATCATCAATCAAATGTTACAAAATGTGGAGCATGTACTTTTCCAAATAATCAAGATTAAAACAAAACAGAAATAAGATTCTAAAAAGGGGAGTATTTTGCAGCACCTGATATCATAAGGAAATGTTCAAGTAAGCTTTAACTGTGAATATATATTCACGAGATTTCTCTACTCTTCACAAGCTGAAAAGCAAATGTGTACAAATACGTTTTCCTCCCAGTATTTACAAAAGATACTGTATAGCAACACAACATTAACAAAGGTTAATGTTGCACAACTAATACCTGTATTGTGTTCTTCCTACAATTGACTTCCCTTCTCTCCACTGAGCGGTCACATCAGTGGGATCAAGCAAGCCTTCAAAAATATGCTCCCAGAGATATAATCCTGGTAATTAAGAAACAAAAACAGAAACAGAAAACATTTACTGTCTTTTCTACTCTAGTGTGCAAGAGAAGTTTATGTGCTGTTCCTTTATATCTTTGTCTCTGAACCCAGAACTTTTCCCCTATGGTCTACTGGCAGGCAATGCCACAAAGCAAAAGCTCAAAATCATTAATATGGCAGCTGATTTTTGAAAGACAGAACTCAGAGGTCGTCAGTGTAAAATATGGGTTATATTAAAGACAATAACCTCTCTTACTCTGGACTGAGAAACCTCTAATATCACCAAACTCTTACTACCTATCACATTCTGAAATTAAATGTATTATACTACACAGTAAACTGCTGTATGCTTAGAACTGTTTATATGTTATTACAAACTGGAGGGATTCACCATTTTGTGCCAAACACAACCAGAATAGCTAATACATATGCATATGCATTCAATATGTTAAGAGGATATTACCTTTGTCTCTCTTGAACACACATCCCTGACTGAATGATGCCCTTGGCAGACAAATGCCACTTCATGTGTTTTCTGCTTAGAGAATGTTTTAACATGATTTCAACTGAATTCATGATTTTAATGAATGTTTTAACGTGAAGGGTGAAAGAGAGCAGCATCACACAATTAAGTAATATTGAGACCAAACAACACGTTTGAAAACCTTGCTTTAGTTACACTGAAAGACGTATTTTGTCCTATTGTCATTACACCCTGATACTAATGTATACTCAAAAGCCAATTCTAAAATTCAGTCAATCAGGTAAAGGTTTCCAAATGTGGCAGGCTGAACAGTGCACTCCACGTCACATGTCCATATACTAACCTTCAGAACTGCGAGTATCTTACATGGTAAAAGAAACTTTCTAAATGTGATTAAATTATGGATGCTGAGATGGAAAGATTATTGTGGATTACTAGGGTAAGTCTTTGTGATCACCAGGGTCTTCAGAAGAGGGAGGCAGGAAAGCCAGAGGGAGGGAGAG